TTCCAACACTGATGAGGTTCTTTCTCAATCCCTGATGAAGATTCAAAGCACTAACTACCAAGTTGATCCGAAAGTGTCCGCTTATCCAGAAGAGTTGAAGATGCTGATTGGTGCTCTGAAACACTCATCTTTAGCAACTGCCATGTTCAGTTCATTTCCGGTTCCAATGGTATGGTTATCTCGTGCGACTTCAACGGCTTCATACAATCACACAGCGGATGTGATTACTTTCAACTTAACCAACAACAAACGAGTTAAACTGTCAAAGAACTTGTTTGTGGAAATTCTGCAGATTCCAAACAACCCTCCATTTATCAAACCTGTCAACTCGCAGGTCATTCATATGTTTAATGAAATGGGGCATCAACCGGAGTTGACAAAAATAAGTGATTTCAGAAAGTCTAGGTTGCCATGTATATGGAATTTTCTATTTGGAATCTTTCTAAGATGTCTTACAGGAAGAATAGTCGGATTGGATAGAGGAAGAATGGAAGTATATGCTATGGTAATGGGCATATACTATGATATTAATGTCGATTATGCAACCCAACTGTCGAAGGAATTTGTCAAAAGCCTAGAAAATACAAATTCGGAGAAGGGAATTTCATGTGCAAGATACTGGAGCTTAATTCTTGAACATGTGTATGCGAAAGAAGAAATTCCAATGCTGACCAATGTTGAAGTTGTTGAATTTTCTTTCTATCAATTCCCAAAAGTTGTAGAAGATGATGAAGCAATCTTTTCTCACGTGGCTCGTATTCCAGATGCGATGCTTCGCAAAGTTTCTCGAACTCACAATATTTTGGTGAGATATTTGCGAACTGTTAATACAGATGATCAGACTGGAGTTTTATAGATGTTGATACTCCATCTAAGACAAAGAAGGTTAGCAAGAAAACTGCGAAGGGTTCATCCTCACCAACCGTACCAGCTGAAGTCATTCCAACTGAAGAAATCGAAGAAGGAACTCTTACCTTCTAAGTCCGGGGTACTGAAGCAAATTCGCAAAGCAGAAGTGAGTAGTAAAGGTGTTACTATTCGCAATATTCCTGCGCCAGTATCTCCAACAAAGAAAAGACAAAGAGCTGAAGACGTTGCGAAAAATATGCAATGTACGATGGTTAAAAGAAGGAAGATGGTGATTCGCAATGAATCATCTGAAGAAGAAATAGTTCCAGAAACTCCACCTGTCACAACTATGGTACCTATTTCTTTACCCATCATACCAACTTCGCAAATTTCTACCACTATTCCACAAACCAAACCACTCGCAATAGTTCTCACCAAATCAGTTACTGAGGAGGTTCCTATTTCTGATATGGATGTCAACGTATCTGATACGGTGGCACCTATCCTGAGTGTTGCACCATCAATTCAAACATCCTTACCAATTTCATTACCTGTTACAACTTTATCTACCTCTTCATCAATTTTTGATCATGCTCTTCAAAACCCATTCACCACACTTTTCCCTTCTCAATCACCTAAAAATCCTCAACCTTCGCAACCATTGTCTGATACAGAAGTCGAAGGAGGTGCCTTTGGTGGGATACTTGATGATATTCCTTTTGATTCAGATGAAGAAGATATTCCTGATCATATGCTGATGACAGGAAAACAGTTTAAAATACTGAATCAAAAGTTAAAGACCATTATACAATCATAAGCTGATTCTGGTAGAATGTCTTCAATATCTGCCATGGAGGTTGATATAATGATCAAAGGAGCAGAGAAAAAAATCATGGAAAAGATTGCTCAATACGATAAAAAAAATGAGCTCCGAATTACGTCACAAGGAAGTAATTTTACTTCTGTTGTTCAAGATCTTCGAGCAGTTACAAAAGAACATCATGTTCTGTTTGTACAAGATGTTAAGAAGGTTCGTGAGGACGTCAACTTCAAAATTCAGGAGTTGAAATTTGATCTTGAGAAGGATCTTCAGGATGTTCACATGAAACAAGAAGAAGTTCAAAAGCAAATTGTGAACATTTCTTCTCAGCTTCAAAAGCTCAATAATATTCCTGTTCTTGCCGATCATAAAGCAGAAACAATGATGAAGTTTGATCAGCTCATCCAGTTAGTCACTGATCTTAAAACAGCTGTTTCGCATTCTTCATCCTCTCAAATCCTTACTCCTGAATTCTTGTCTCTAAAGATTAATACTTTAGAACAAGCTATACACAAAGCCCTTACTCCACTCACAAATTTCACTTCTTTACTACCGAAGAGTGCTCCGCCTGTTTCCACAGGGGTGTAAGGGGAGAAGGTCGAAGTAAAGAAGAGGATGCAAAAACTGTTGGAAAGGTGATATCAACTCAGCTTGTTCCTACTCTTCCAATTCCTTCAAAACCTATTTCTACAACAACAATTACCACAAGAACAATTACCAAAGGTATTGTTATTGGAAGAAATGAAGGAGGTTCAAGCTCAATACCTCAAAAGGATGTTGTAGGAAGAGGAAAAGGAATATTATATGAAAAATCAAAAGAAGAATTGAAAGTTGAGGCTGAGGATGAGATGGAGAGGATGAGGCAAGTTCAGAGTATTATGAGGCAAAGGGCAAGTGATCCTCCCTCCATGAACAAAGGAGATCCTGCATAACTTTACTCTTACGAAACAATAGAGTCAAAAGTTGTGTGTAGGGAGATGTATGAGTTCGAGAAGAAGCCAAAGAGAAGTTATGATATTGCGAACTCAGATCATTGCCAATTGGACTTCCCTATAAATGAAATGTTGTTCATCAATGCACAATACAAGATCAGTGAGAAATTTGATAATCCGAATGATTATACTCAAATGAAAATCAGATTTCATGTTGTCTTGGGGAAGAATCCAGATGAAGTTTGGTCTTTAATGAAGATCAAAAAGGTGGTGACGATAAAGAAGGATATTTTGTTTGAAGAGATGCTACAAAATTTTAGATATTTTGTTATCAGAGCTGACAACAAACAATATGACTTCACAGTTGCTGACTTTCCTTTGATGAACTGGAAGAACTTAATTCAAGTAGCACTGATCTTGAAGAATATGGAAGAAAACAATCTTAAAGGCTCTGATACAGATGTATTCAAAGCAGGCTTCGCACATGTGAAGACTTTCATAGACAATTATTTCGATTGTCTAGCCCTTACATATGATGAATTAGCAAATGTTGTGGGAAGGGAAGTGAAAGTTCCATGGGAGGAGACTTTGACACAATCTGCTTTGTCAAAGTATGGTGTTGGTGAAATCTGCCTAAAACCTTTTGGCATGGTGTTTTCTGGCAGAGATACAAAAGGCAACCCGAAGAAATTTTTGTTCAAAGTCTCAAAGATTGAAAGATATAATTCTTCACAATATACGCACTTCATTGTACGTATGAATAATTTCAAGAAGAATAACGAAGGAGACAAGAAAGATTTAAAGAAGGTGATCTCCTGGTATGGAGAAGTGCGAAAGACAATTCACTCTGCAATTCAAAAGCTTATGAGTTGAATTGTATCGATTGTTTACAAAGGGGGAGAATGTTGATGTATATTGTAAAAGTCGAATAGAGTGTTTTGTGTAGTTTTGCATTTTATGTTATTTTACTAAGTCATCTTCTGTGCGAAGGTAAAATGTATAGACTTAGTATATTTTTTGTTTGTTCCCTATAAATAGGGACTTAGGCTAGAAGTAGAGGGACGATGCTAGAACTCACTTCTGCTTAATTTTGTAATCAGTCTTAATCAATATGAGATCTGATTAATATTTACTCTCTGTGTTCTTCATCTTAAATAGTTCAAATCTATCTTTTCTTTTCTAAATTCTCGGTAACAATTCTCATCAAGTTCCACCCTACCCACTATGATGTTTTCAGATTTTCTGCTTCTAGACCCACTTTACTTGGTACCATATCCGAAACTATATCGAAACCGGTTCCTATATGCCATCTCTCTCTCTCTCTCTCTCTCTCTCTCTCTCTCTCCCCCCACCAATTAATTATATTTGGTTTTTCTAATCTCCTTCCTACAATTAAAAAAAATATATTCTTTTTTTTCAATAACTCCTAATGGTCAAAATTTATCTCTTTTTACTAGTGTACAACCCTATAAATACTTATTCTATCTCACATTCAAAATCACACCTTCATCTATCATCTTCCTTTCTACTTTAAGTAAAATGAATCCCAACAATCCCATCAACTCAAACATAAAATTTAATGGATGAAAATCTTGTGTTTCAAGTTAAACCACATTTATTAGAAACATTTTCCCTTTAGACGCATCGCTCCCGATTTAGCTTCGCCAACTTGATGCCCCCATTCAACCACATCCAAAATGTCAATACAAAAATGTTCACTACAAGAAAAATAGCCTTTTACGACGCGCAAACCACGACATTCATTGATTTATGTTACGCAATGGAGAGTGACGTTAAAAAAGTGTCATCTCTTCAAAAAATTTAAGGATTTAGGTCACACATTATTGCGTGCCCTTAAATTAGCATCATACGAGAAAAAATTAAAAACACGGAGTGCGCTGTATCTTAAATGGGCGTCCTCTATGAGTGTCGCTTTATAATTTTAATGAAAAGCGCATTTAGTAGATAGGGGGAAAATGAAATCCCTAAAATTTTTAACACCCGCCTTCATTTTTATCCTCCTCTTTTGTTTCCTTCTTGCCCTAATTACGATCCTTTCTTCCCCCTCCATAAATTCGACGGCCGCCTTGCCTAGTTATCAACACTCCTTCCTTCGTTCCTCACTTGCCTTCTTCGCCTGACAATATCTCAAGAAGTACAACTCCGAAAGCGTACATGTCGGACTTATGTGTCGGAACTCCGGTAGACTGAAATTCAGGCAACATGTAACCTCGTGTGCCCTAAAATTTCACGAATCTTGAATTTGGCTTACTTGAATCTCGTTCCAAGCTGCTATCGGTTTCGCCACAGAGTTCCGCCATTCCAAAAGCGCATATTTTCACGTTGAGTGACTATGATTGGGTTACAATTATGCTTGAGCCGACGATTGGGTTACAATAATGCTTGAAAGTGTGAAGAACTTACATGCTCCATCTAATCATGTCATACTTCATGTTTGTATCACAAATATTGAAGGTCTATCCATTTCTTCTGACATATGGGTTTCAAAATTTGGGGTTTTTATGGGATTTGAAGTTATGGAGATGCAAGGTGCCCTCAAGGTGCTCGCTGAAATGCCAGACTGTGTAAGTATATTTTTTTCATATTTGATTAGAAAAAGCGATAACAAAAATACTTCCTCATCAACTCATCTTATGGGTTGTGCTTCTTTGTTTAAAACACGATTACAAATTGAGGAATACTCCTCCTATCGCATCCTCTTCTAATTTCTTTCTTCTAATTTCTTTGTTTAATGATTTTTTTCTAATTTCATATTGATTTCATCTCTTGTTTCTCTATTCACAGATCTTCCAATCATCAAGGATGTATTGGAGATTGCTAATGTATTAAACAACAAATGGAAGGTAAGTAATACCTCAAAAAACATATTTGATACCTGATCTTCATTCCATACTCACCATATATATTCGAATGTTATTATTTTTTTTAATCTCCCGTTACTATTTATTTGAAATTTATTGCTTCTGTTATTCGTTTTGTAACAGAGGCAAGTGGAATTAATGTACATAATCACCTATGACATTCTTTTCGGACAAGTATCTTCACTTTCTAGGATGCCACATCATATAATATTTTCTTTAAATTAATCATATACATAATTTTAACATTTCTTCATAGGATTCATCTCTAACAGGAGATCCAGAAAAGTACCTTATTTTGAGGAAAAGTCAACTACAGTCAGCTCTTGCAAAGATCTTATTAAAGAAGGGAGCAAAACGTATAGAAGATTTAATGTCCCAATATAAGATTCCCGGTTTGTTCTACCAATAACACTCCACTTTATTATTTATAATTTACACAACCATATTTATTAAACGAGATCTATGATTTATCATTTATGTAGCAGATGTTAAAAAACCTCGCTATGTTCGTGTCAATACTCTGAAATTGGATGTTGAAACTGCTGTGTCTGAATTAAGCAAAGATAATATGGTAACATTAATATACATTATGGTACCCTATTTAATTTATCTTTTTTATTTTTCTGATTTTAGTTATAATAATCTTTATAGGTCGAGAAGGATGACATGATTCCCGATTTATTACTGCTTCCACCAGCTACTGATTTGCACAATCATCCTTTGGTCACAAACGGAAGTGTATTTATGCAAGTAAGATTTAGTAATTTTTTTCATTTTGGTTTATTTTATTTCATCCATAATTACTTTAATATAATTTTTTTTTAGGGTAAGGCAAGCTCCATGGTGGTAGTTGCCCTTGGGCCTAAACCATGGTGGGAAACATTGTAACTAGAGTTCATGCATGGGTATGCAGGAATGATGATGGGCATGAGATGGGTTCGATCACCGAACCATTTACGTGGGTCCCACATGTTAAATCCAAGATCATCCTGTTCAATTGGGCATAGCATGACAGGGTTTGGCAAACACCAGTTAGTATAGACTCTGAAAAAACAGGAAACTAGCATACTAAGTATTGCATTGGGATAAAGCTAGCATACCTGAGCAACTAAAAGAGCCTCCAAAGGGGAAGTTGTTGACGATTTGTTTCCTGCTTATATGAATCTTGAAAATCTTGACACATTAAACTCTTTTGGAACTGACGATAAACAAGGAACTGAGAATCGTGAAGATTTAAATAGTCGAGCTAGTGGAACAAAAACAAATGGAGGTGATAGTAGTGATAATGAAGCTAAAAGTAGTGTTAATGATAAAGGGATTAAACGGAGTGCAGGTGGAGACATTGCTCCAACAACAAGGCATTATAGAAGTGTGTCAATGGATAGTTTTATGGGGAGGATGAACTTTGCTGAAGAATCACCTAAGCTTCCTCCTTCTCCTGGAGGGAATATTGGTCAATTATCCCCAAATAATTCAATCGACTCAAATTCAAATACAAATACGTTTATTTTGGAGTTTGGAAATGGTGAGTTTACAGGGGTTAAGCTCAAGAAAATCATGGCTAATGAGAAACTTGCAGAGATTGCTTTATCTGATCCCAAACGAGCCAAAAGGTATGTAGCTTTTTTCAAATTCATTAATATTTACATTATAATTGGAGAAATATGAATATTTATTTTGATATTTGAATAAACAAATATATTTTTTATGTGATATGTTTTAGGATTTTGGCAAATCGACAATCTGCTGCAAGATCAAAAGAGAGGAAAATGTGTTACATTACAGAATTGGAGCACAAGGTTCAAACTTTATAGACTGAAGCAACCTAATCAACAAACAAAAATCTCACTACCATCCTTAAGTATTATATCATTATACAATACATGACTAAAAATTACACTTTTCGTCCCTGTGTTGTATTGATTTTCACTATTCCATAACATGCCTTTTATAGAAGGCTATTTAGTCCCATCACATACCTTGTACCCATTTGCTTCCACTTTAATCATCATCATTACAAAGATATTTTTCAGAAATCATCACCAATTGTTAAATATATGATTTTCAAGAGTCATCCAGAGAAATGAAACAGTGAATTATGAACTTAAAGCCTTTTACAATGGTGTCTGTCTCGTAGACTAAAAGTGTTATAAAAAAATGAATTATGGAAGAAAAAGGCAAAAAGGGCAAAAATATTCTTTTTTGGATCATAAAAAGGACCACTTTTTCATCCCTAATTCGATGTTTCATAAAAAATTTAGTCACTGGGACATATGCCATTTATAAAAGGGTGTTAAGCCCGATAATATACCTTGCAGAAGAGGGCATGTAGGTCATTTCATTTATCTCTGCAATGGGAAAATATAATCACAAATTACTTAATACAAATTTGTCATGTAGTTTGGTTATGCAAAAGTAGATCGACGAGGTCTTATTATGCTGACATTTCGGCCTGCTATTGGTGAGCGCAAATGTGATTCAGAAAAAGAAACAGGTAATGGAACATTTGTAATTATAATTTACTTTCTATTTCCTGAGTTATTAAAATTGGAATGGAATGAAACATTACTATGGAATAGAATAATCCTCTTTAGCGATCTAATTGGTTTTTTGATGTGTGGTTGTTTGCCTTGTCAGTGACAGAAGTTGGATCATTCATAAGTTTAGGTCCAGGAGATTCTTGTGAATTCTTCCATGATCCATTAATACAATCGAGGTATAATAATAACCATTTGTTATTTATGGTAAATATATTGAAAAATCACTCTTTACTTACCATTTTGAAATATTAATTGATTATGGTCTATATTGATTATGTCTATATTATAGGGATGCAGGTCATTTCTCTAAGTAGGTTATTTTTGTACATAATGAGAATGAACACAGTTTTCATGTCCATGGCGGAACCAGAAAATTTTCCTAGGGGTAGCACAAAAAAAAGTATCGATAAAGGATAGTAATATATATATATATATATATATATATATATATATATATATATATATATATATATATATATATTATGACTTCATTAGATATATCAAAATAATGTAAAATTTTACATTTTAAAGTTGACATCTTCGTTAACATAATTATAAAGTACAATTTCATTAGATATAAGCTTTAGTGCTGAATTAATTTGTTGTTTATGTTAGGTTAGTACACACGCCATCTTTATTTATATTAGTGGTCCATTTCTTCTAATCAATGGGCTTCTAAATGATAAAATGGCTTTTTTAATTTAACCTTCATAGGAGCACACTTGATTTCACATGTTCATACTTGAAATATATATCTAATAAAATTCAATTTTTCACTACAGGTGGGGAGTAAATGAGGGGTAGTACCAACATAGTGGCCGAACTATTCATGTCTCTTATTAGTATGTAAATTTGATGTTATTTATGTATAAAAAAGGTTATTGAATTTATATTGGAGTTTTATTTGCGTGCAGCTGTAGCAAAAAATATCTTGAAAACAAACGAACGATTAACAGTTCCTGTAAGTAGAACAAAGTTTGCAATTGGGTAGTGCAGCTTTCAGTGTATGTGTTGGCGACTCTGTTGCTGCTGAGGTTAGAAGATCACTCATCCGTAACATTGATTGGGTCATTTCTCTTGGAAATGCTTTTGCAAAGCAGTATGAGCTTTATACAAATGATGATGAGCATTCTGCACTACTTCACAGGTATGAACTCATTATCATTATCATTACATTTTTTAAATTAAATTATCTTATTGAGAGTATTCTTCTCCTACAAATGTGTTGATATACTTCTTCAGAAAGTTGATAACATGACTTATGTTCGTGATAAAATCGTCTGGATGTACAAACAAGCAAATAATCTAGATTTCAAGTATTCCAGCACCTTGATAATTATTACATTGCTATGTGTAACATTTAACCCTATTTTCTAATATTGTTTTGGTTGAACATGTTATTCCTCAAATTTTAACAGATTCTTGAATTGTGACTCACCCCTACAGCTTTCTAAATGCAGGCTTGTTTTGGTGCTGGATTAAGTGGAGTTCTGGCTTGGTGTGTGCGAGTGGGAATGAACCAACCCAATGCCCCCGGAGTTCTGGCACCTTCCATCTTTACTTCCTATGTATCCAGGTTAATCTACTCGTATTTATTCATGTCTCAAAGTGTGTATTCCAATATCAGGTATCATGATTTGTGTATTTATAAAATTTTGAAATAGGGTCTTGTTCAATGCTTTAGCTGTGTTTGCTCTAAGGGAGATCAACTTATCAAATGTAAGTTATTGTTTGACCCTTTTATTTAATATTTTTGTGATTGAATGAAAGTCTTAATGAAAGTAATTGACAACCCTTTCTCTGTAAATGATGTTGTGATTGTGGGAGAGGTGTTGTGTTTTTCTCTGTTGCTAGGTAACCTTCTCAACAACAACATTCTACTTAAGAAGGTGAGTAATCAAGATTAAGGGAGACTTGTAATCATGTTTGACATTCCTTTCCAGTATGAAACAGAGTTGTATGATTATTTGTTAGTTTTATAGGAATGTATAACCTATGTTAGCAATGTATTATTTTTGTTTAACATTTGAATGATTCTTTGTATGACATACAATTTGTGCAATTTATTTTATTTTTTGAGTATGAAATTTTATTTTATATTATGCAATGGATTGTATTTTTTGTATATGGTATTTTATTTCTATTATGAGAAATTAAATGCAAATTTAATTTGAAAATTAATAAATATATAAATTTATTTTTTTTAATCATTTAAATTTACGATACGCAAAAATGTGTGTCATCTTCATTTATGACATGGCCTTTCATGACAGGGGCTTTCTTGATACGCATTGCGTGTCATTAACACGCGCGTCGTAAGGTTACGACACGCGAATGCGTGTCATCTTCCTTTATGACAGGGCCTTCCTTGATACGCATTGTGTGTAGTAAACGCGCGTCGTAATTGCGCGTCGTCTCTCTTTATGACAGGGCCTTCCTTGACACGCATTTACGCGTCATCTGAGCCTTTTACGACGCGCAATGAGCGTCGTAAAAGGTTGTTTTTCTAGTAGTGGTTCGACAATACAACCTCTGCAAGTGCCAAATGATAACCCAACATGTTCAATAGCTTTTTTGTTTTTTCTGATCAACTTTCACAAAATTAACCGCAAAGCCAAACGTCACCCTGTCACTTTCAAACCCAAAGTCTCGATGACTCGGAGGACAAATTTGTACGGGAAACTCAAAAGAATGTGATATATTATTATTCAAAACTTGTACGTACTTCAGTAAATTGTTGGTAAATTCCACCAATTGTCCCTCGTGCAGATGCCAAAACACCTGTTTAGTCCCTATCTTCAAAAATTAATTTCGATCGTCTCTCATTTGTTTAAAACGTACACACTTTGTCCCAGATATGAGGTTTTGTGGCGATTTTAGTCCAAGTCATATCTGAAATAACCATAATGCCATATATATATATATATATATATATATATATATATATATATATATATATATATATATATATATATATATATCGAATTAGTTTTATGTTATTATTATTATTATTATTATTATAAATTAAAAAAAAATATGTCCCACTTCAAACCCGACCCTATGTCACCTTTACTGTCTCTTTTCTCTAAACTCTTAAAGAACTCTAACACTATTTCTCTTTAAGCCACCGATGGTTGATACTATCCTAGCAAACCCTCTTATTGCATCAACTGCCATATGTTCGTCGTAGCAACCTAACTTTTACACTTATCGCACTCCAGCCACCATATTTCCGTGAAGATTAACGTCTCTAGCCGCCAATAAAATACTCATTCATCACCATTGTCGATATGGTGTTTTGAACCACTAGTGGTGGTGGTTACAACAAATGCCGATGGTGATAAGGTGGTGGTTGAAGTAATTTCATGAGATATCTAGTATGATTCGGATGATGTCGATGAATTGCTTCCTTCCCCCTTCAATGTCTTGCATGGATTTGATTTTTGAGAACTTAAGTGATGATGATCTTGACTAATACCAAAGAATTTGGTTATAGGGTTGGTGTTGAATTTGATGAGATCTATGGAAGTAAGCCTTGGACAAATTGCCATTTAAGCTGAAATGGTATTTCCTGAGAGTAATAAAAGGGATAAGGTTTGTTGATTTTATGAGGAAACAATGTCTCTTTCTGCACTAATTATCATTGGGATGCTGTAACGAAGTGAAAATTTAAAACAATTTTTCATTTTTCGAAAAATATAAAACTCATTTAATATTCTAAAATCTCATGTTCAACAGATGTCATCATAATAAAACATATCCCAAGATCACAAAATATAATCCCCTGTCAGTGTGTACAGATCATGCAGGCACCTTCCCGCGATCGTCGCTAGTACCTGAAGCACATAACACATAACACTGTAAGCATAAATGTTTACTGAGTTCCCCAAAATACCACATACAACACATATCAGCCACTCAAGGCTATTACTATGTATGACCCTCTGGTCAATGTGTCTCAGTGGGACCCTCCAGTACCCTAACTCTATGGACCCTCTGGTCCTAACTTTGTGGATCTTCCGGTCCTAACTCTGTAAATTCTTAATCATACATAGCACAAATCACATGTAAATCACATCATACAAAAAGTTGTTGGATTAGTGTCTAAGTCCATAACTATTTTGGTATGTGCTTGACCCGATTATAAGCATGGTCCTTTTGGGTTGCCTTCACCATAGCAATATGTAGGATGAATTAAGGAGATAAAGGTTTAATTATGATTTATTAATATATTATGAGAATAATATAGAAATCATAATGTTTAATTAATATTAATCAACAATTAATTTTGTGGCTAAAAGAGATTAATTAAACTTAGGGGACTGGAATTGTAATTATAAGATAATTGCAATTGGGCTATGGATCACCTTGGAATATAGGTTGGATGAAATCTATGGTAAGCCCATCTAATTTTCGTCCAAGGCATGTTCCAGAAGGGTCCATGGGCTGCTTAGGGGTAAAGCAGTTAAATTAGGGTTTCCTTGTTAGATAACCTTAATTGCCTACCTATTTAAGGAGCCTCTTTCCTCTTCTCTTCCTCATCTTGTTGCTTAGTCGTGTTTGTGACTCCATTAGAGGTGCAACACTTGAGGCACAAAACATTTTGAATCCAATCAAAACAAGGAATTGATTGGTATTACTACATAACAATCAAAGTTATTTCTCTAAACCCTAATTCAGATTACAATATGTTAGATCTAGAGTTAATAGCTCTGGATATTCAATTGCATGTTCATTGGACAAACTAGATCCAAAAGCTATTAGGGTTTGCATGTACACCATAGGAATGATGTATTGCTCGAAACCCATCAGTTGTATTAGAGCCTAGGGCTGTTTGTTAGTGAATTTGATGCTTATTTAATCGAAAATTAGCTGAAAATCAAATTTTTTGAGGTTTTTCGACATGACTCGCCGAGTCAACTGGGTGACTCGCCGAGTCCATAGTGAACTCGATGTGTCCAAGCCAGGCTCGACGAGTCAGAGGGTCGGATGGAGCTGATTTCGGGATTTTGACCTGTTTTGGCTGTGAATATTTACCTAAAACGTTTTTTATTACTAAAATACGAATTTTATCAATACTTGGAGACTATCCTTGCCAAAATAGAAGATAATTGTCAAAATTTAGATAATCATTTGTTTTATTAGATTAAGATTGATTATTTGTAATTTAGATTTGAATTATCTTGTAAAAATAAATTGAAGGTCAAATTAGATAATCATAAATTAATTGTTTATTTTTAAATTATTTGCAATTTGATCTTATGTGTTTTGAAAAGTTTCAAAACTTGTCCTCAGGTTTTGGAATTTAAAATTTTTAATTAAAAGTTTAATTTTGAAAGATTTAAATTCTAAACCCATAATTTTTGAAAAGTTCAAAAACTTGTTCTCAAGTTTTGAAATTTAAATTTTTTATTAGTAGTTTTAATTTTGAAATATTAAATTCTAAAACCCTAGTATTTTGAAAAGTTCAAATTACACACTTATGGTTTACATTTAATTAAATTAAAAGTATAATTTGTTAAATAAGACTACCTAGTATTTTAAAAGTGTAAAATACACCCTATACTATATATATGACATTAAAAGTCTAATATTATATACGTATTAGTAAACAGTCAGTCTTATCGTTTGTAGGCCTCATTCACGAAGCTGGTCTATAAGGGGTGTTTAAGGAAATTGCCTATAAAATGGCGATTGAATGGGTATCCACTCTTACCCACCGCTGTCTTGACTAGTGGAGGGTCGTTAACCGAACGGGTAGGATAGGACGAAACCTTCCATTATAAGTATAATGAAGTACAAAGTAACTAAATGCTTTTACTAATTCCCAAATCATAGTTACCTTAGGTAAAATGTGAAATTGTATGCTAATCCATGGAATTACACTTCATATCCTTGTTAAACGTTAGTGGAGCGTGTGTGGTTAACCGGTACACTAATTTGGAGTTGACATTGGTAGTGAAGGGTGGCTCGATGATCATCATAGATCAATTGAGTGTGTGTGGCTAACCATCATATTGATTAGGTAATAGTATTATTGAGTGCACTAGGCAGATTCATATGGTTATTCACACCTTGTTTGTGATCCTCGGCACTCCAGTAGCAAACTTAAAGGGCATAATCTTCAATTCATTTAAGGTTCAATGAATCTCAAAAGATCAAGGAATTTCAATTCATTTAATACTTAAACTTCTTTTTCATTTTTCATGGTGGAAATTGGTAAATCATCAAATACCTACCTTGAAATATTCTACAACTAGATTATGACATCCTTCTTCTAGGTTATAGAGTATTTTGTTAGATCGTAGCCTTAATATCACATTTGGGTGTTTTATTAAGGACTCAATCAATTTAACTTGAATTTTCTCCCGTTTTGTAGATGTCTTTTTCTGACAATCATGGTCTTCCTGAATTCTTTGAAGATGATATTCCACGATATCATCGAGGAACAAGAGATCATGCTTCAATTCCTCCACCTCCTCCAATTATTCTGCCTAACCCACAAGTTCGAAGGCTTGAAAAGTTCAAGCTCACTCAAGCCCTTTTGGCAAGTAAACAAGAAGATGGGAAACCTGTGTGTGCACACGTCTTAGAGATGAAGTCACACATTGAAAAGTTAAGGATGTTGGGTGTAGAGATTTAAGGTGAGTTGGCTGTTGGCTGTTGACTGGGTTCTTCAGTCACTTTCTGAATCATATAGTGAGTTCGTAAGAGAGTACTATATGATGGAACACGATGTAACCCTAATTGATCTCACCTATTTGCTTATAGATGCTGAATCAGCAATGATTTGGCGTGCTGGTCAAGCAAATTTGTCTGGTGAATCAAACTCCCAAAATTCAAAGGACACTGGCAACATTGGATGTCTAGAAAAGACTAAGTATGAGATTTTCAAATGTAATGTGCC